GAGTTAGTTAAAATAGTCTAGATTTGTTTTGTATATACGAAAAATACAAAACGTTAAATTCTATGAGCTTCTAACATCATTTATTCTGTCGTTGTACCTAACTGATCTGTTACCGATGGCTCGCCAATCAACAATTTGGTGCGCACATCCTACTCGACATCAGAATTGTTCAAAAGTTGGTCGTAAAGTTACGCATCCAAAAGGTAGACGTGTTGTTTCAAAGCAACTTGCTCAATACATACAAAAATATTATCGTCGTGGTATTGGAAAGTCAAAGCTGACAACACGAGAAGGTGATTTCCTGTGTACCGGTTGTTATGATTTTGAATGTAAGAAGATGAATCAAAAATATATATCAACACAAGAACAAGGTGTTGTTGAAAATCAACTTGAACTTGAAGCAAAGGAATTGTCATGTTCATCTAATCCAAGGGAAGAACAACCTGATAATGAAGATGAAGCATTGTCCGGTACAACTTCGTCGAATGTTTCGACGGAACAATTATATTATAAACAGGAAGTCGTAGACTTATTGAACAATATTTTTGAATTATTGAATATAGAACTAATTGCCGATGTGTACGTTTAATTTAATAATCCCAAAACGAATAATAATTCAATTTTTACAATTTTAGACGTCATCGTGATAAACTACGTGCAAAAATAAACCAAGTGAATGTTAAACTTTATGATCTATGTGACAATATTTTGGATTTGAAAGCATCATCGAACTCGAATAGTATTAATCTCTTCTCATCTGGCATTACACTACACGATTGTCAAACATTAATTGATGGTCTCAAACAATTATTTTTCATTAGTAATAATGAACAACAAATACAACTGCTAACGATCGCACCATTAGATTGGGGTCGAAAAAAGATCGAATATTTTTTCAACTGTACCGAGCATCAAGCGAAAGAGGCTATCATATTAAGATATTTATATGGTGTGTTGGCTCGACCTACTTATTTCAGTGGTAATAAACCACTTTCCAAAAACATTATTGATCAAGTTCTAAATTTTTACGAAGATGGTAGAATTAGCCGACAGTCATCAAACAAAAAAGATAAAATCAAGGTGAATGGTGAAGATAAAATATTTCGGTTTATGGACATGTGTGTTGGAGATGCGTATTTAATTTTCAAAAATGAATTTCCAACTATCTCGATTAGTCATTCGAAATTCTTTGCTCTTAGACCCAAATGGGTGAAAATTAATTGTCCCAATCAAGGTTGTCTTTGTATTTATCATGAAAACTTTCACTTATTGCTTGAGGTAAAAATTATTGTATTTCACCTTCAGATTTGTATTGTATCATTGTTGATAGGCATGGAACAATCGAAATAAAACCAGCTGGAATTTACAACAAATTATTGATTCGATTTTGTGTACCTCACCAATGGAAGCATGTCACACAAGAGAATGTGATGATTGTGGAGATCGATTACCAAGTTGTATCATTCAGCCAACATGTAAAGGTGATATTGATGATGAAGATAATGAAATTCGATGGTTTAACTGGGTTCGAGTGTCAGGAAAAGTTAGTTTGCAGGAAATATCTGGAAATATTGCAACATTATTAGGTAAAATTGATGAACAATGGCCGGTTATCTTACACCATCATTATGTTAAAGAACAACAAAAACAATATATAAATGAAATTAAGAAGAAATCCAACGATAAAGATTATGTTGTTATTACTTGTGATTTTGCAGAGAATTACACTTTAGTTGCTCAACGTGAAGTTCAATCAGCACACTGGAATCAACAACAAGTAGCTATATTTACCATTCATGTAAAAATTGGTGATTCTCATCTGAACATCGCTGGAATCAGCGACTATCTAAACCACGACACAGTGTTTGTGCACTGTTGTCAACAAAAAATTATTACAATAATCAAAGATAAATTTCCATTGGTTCAGAAAATAATTTATGTTTCTGATGGTGCAGCAATGCACTTTAAAAATAAGTACAACGTGTATAATCTCTCTTGTCACAAAGAAGAATTCGGTATAGAAGCTGAGTGGCTATTTTCGGCAGCCGGACACGGCAAAACTGCTTGCGATGGTTAGTTAATTACCCTTTGGATTTCTATTTATGCTTTTATTTTTCAACTATATTTTAAATCCTACGTTGATAATGTTTGTATAGTACGAATGACTTGAAAAATTTGACCTTTTCAGTCCATGATATTTCAAGCAATATTAAAACGGGGCAGGAACTAAGTATACTAGTATGTAAGTTAATGTTAGTACTTTAGTAAATGAGTGATAGGTATACTCCCAAATTCTGCATAAGTGAGAAATATTGGTCACAACATGGGGTATTTTCACTATAGGTTAGTAGGGTGTCCCCATATACATCATGCTATTTCACAATGAAGATGTTTCGAAGGAATGTTTCCTATATCGTTAGAGAGACAGCAGATGTATATATAAAATCTAACTGGAATCGATCATCAATCATTAAGATTTTATGTCTAGCCATATACATCAAAATAGGCCATTTTTGCTGTTTTTTCATTTTTTGCAAAATCTTGCATCGGGCTCCAGTGTATAATAACGATGTGAATGGGACGATCTGTTGATGATTACAATCTATGAACTAAGTACTTCATAAACATATACAAAGCTCGACTCGATGATCACGCTTAGGTAAAAAAATTGGTACGTCAAAATTGAAAAATATCATCAATACCATATAGGATGGAATTTTATGGCATGAAAAAAACTATGATGCCGATGAGTTAGGAAGGTGATGTTTTCACCATATAGTTAGGGTAGTGAGAGCTTCAATCACTGAAAGTTTCAGCTTGATCAGTGAAGGTCACTGCATATGTGGGAGATTTCCGGTGGAACTACCCATATATATACCATCGGTCGTCACAGGATTAAAGTGGGTATATTACCAAAGTGGGCAGTGATCATTTTTGGTTTTTTGCTCATAAAATCATCTTCGTGTCTCTAAGCAATTATTTCTACTTGAAATACAAAGC